AAATTAATAGTGAAATATTAAAGTTGAAATTTAGTCAGAAAAAGCAGATAATTTGATTTGAGTGTATTTGAAGTTAAAATCATCGTATTGTTTTAGATATGAACCCGTAGTCTAAGAGTGTATGGTAGTGGCTGTGATGAGACATAAGTAGCTGATCTATTCAATTTTCACTTTCTAACTTTTAGTTGTTTGTATTATGTGTGAATTTTGATTTTATTTGCTGTCATACTTTTATTTGCAGGTTCATTAATTTGTGTCACTTGTATTTCAATGTTTTAACGTGTTTAGTTTTGTTTGATTTTTTCAGGTATTCAATTTAGTTAAATTTAAGTTTTTTTTTGTTTTTTTCTAACTTACTATAAGACTATTCTACGTCTTAAAATATCGTTAGATCTTTGTATATAGAAAACTGAAGGTCAAGGAACAGAAAATGGACTATGTCACAGATTTTGGTAAAATTTTGCATACAACTTTGACTTGTTGAATTATATCTGAAAATTGAAAAAATAATGCCTTTAATATTAATATTTTTCTAAAATATGACTGATACAATTCTTTCAAAATAGGTGAACATTTGTATAGAAAGCACAAACAATTGGGGAACATTTGTATAGAAAGCACATACAATTGACGAAAAACGCAAATGTCAATGTTTCTTAAAATCATAAAATCTCCAATTTCGAATGCATAGATTTTTTTAAAAGCTATATGTTGTTGGAACTGTGCAATACGAACCCCATGAAAAATGAGGTACTCCGGAAAGGTAAGCAGATATTACTATTGTACTCGTTTAAGCTTGAAAGTTAGCATGCAAGTAATAACCTGCAAATTTAAAAATTAGAATAGAATTGAATAGGTAAAAAATTAATTATCTTAAACAAAAGTAAGCATACAAATTCAAATAGATATTCGTAATGTGGTGGATTTCAATACCATTATCATCAAAATGTAGACAAATAGTTTGGTTGCATTATTTCTAGAGTTTTTACTGTTGCTTCGTTCATGCTTTCGTTATTTCAGCAGATTTAGAAATACACCATCTACCTTTTAAATTGGTTATATGCCACTGTGAATTATGAATGTTTAAAGTAACCGAGAACAAAGCTTGTTAATGTTATGTGCAAAAGTGCATTGTCTTTTCAACAAATCAAATAATAAGATGTTACATGTACACGGATTTCAACAACACCATACAATAACTTGAAAATCATAATTGGATGGTATTATATTCCGGAGACGTCGTTACATTTTTTCATTAACGGTCTGATTAACATGATTATAAAAGCCCCTCACTTTAACACACTTACAGATAGCTCGTCACTTCTTGATTATATTGTAGTTACAGATTCAATACCATTTTATGATAAGGACACAATACCTATTGATAGAAGTATAAGTGATCATGATGGAACATACATCACAATTGATTGTGGTTCTAGTAAAAGCAGAACATATAGTAGATGGGATTATAAAAGAGGGGATCATGACTTAATGAAACAAAAAGTAATAATGGTTAATTTGGACAATTTTTTTCTGATGCAAATTATGTTCATGTTGCTGCTACAAATTTCACTTACACTTTTTTTCTTCATAGCATCTGAGTGTTTACCTACAAGGAAAGTAACTATAGGATGTGATGTTAAAGTTTGTTTCGATACGAATTAGCGGGGAGAAACGAGGCAACGGGACAGACTTCGAAATGTTTTATTGGTTTGAGAAGTATATCTGCAGAGAAAAATAAAGCAACAAAGAAACAAGGTTATTAATTTGAAAAAGCAGGCTAAAAAAGCATTTCTGTGTGAGTATAAACGAGCATCTAGATGATTTTAAGTGACAAACGGTCAACAGTACTGGAAGACAATTAATATGTTAGTTAAAACCAACGTGTCCACTCATGATATTCCTCCGCTAAGATACCCGGATCAAAACTTTAAGTTTGCGTATGATGAAACAAAAACGTCAGTAATTTTAAATAAATGTTTTTGTTACATTTCTAATTTTGATAAAGCTAGCAAAGATTTACCTGAATATGAAGATCGCTGTGTTGGTTTTCTTTTACAAATTATTCTTAGTGAATAAGATGTACGTATTATTGTTTCCACGCTCGATAAAAAAAGCTGTGGGAACAGATATCGTTAGCAACAGAATGTCACTTGCTGTTAGAAATAAAAATGTTTACGTTTTGATAAATCTCGTAATGATAGAATATTTCCTGATAAATGGAAATTTTCACATGTAATTCCCGTATCGAAAAGTGGTGACAAATCATTGCCGTCTAACTACAGGCCTGTCTCCTTATTGTCATGTGTGAGTAAAGTGTAAGAACAAATTGTTTTCAAACATATTTTCAATCATTTACATGAAAATAAACTGTTGTATAAGTATAATTCTGAATTTATTCCAGGATAATCAACTACGCATCACTTGATTTAACTTTATAACAAAATCCCCTTCCCGCTAAGTAGTAAGTTGGTAACAAGAATTACGTTTGCGCTTTTGATACTGTTTGGAAAAAGGCTTTACTATACAAACTTGAAAAATATGGTTTTAAAGAAGATTTTCTGTATTGGTGAAAAGTCGTCTTAAAAGATTAACATCTAGCTATTTTTTTTAATAAGATTAAATAACCACGAACCAGATTATTTACACGATTTGTTTCTGAATTTTTTATCAGATATTAATTATAATAATTTGCGCAACAGTCAACATATTACTATTCCTGTAAACCATTTAACAACTTTTCCACATTCTTTTTTTTCCATCATCTATTACATTGTGGAAATCTTTGGACTGAAGTATTAGACATGTTCCTATATTTTCCTTGTTTCAACGAAAGTTGCATAAACTATATAATAAAAATTAAGAAATCTCCGAGATTTTGTTTCTCAGGGGATAGTTTGCGTTCTGTATTACACACAATGCTGCATAACAGATGAAGCGCTCTGAATGCTGATCTTACAAAGCAAATTTGATACAAAATACTGATTGTTGATGTTGTTTTATCAATGAAAATGTCGACCACTATTTACTATATTGTATTAATTTTCCAACACATAGAATGTCAATATTACAATCGATTTATTATTATGTGGGGATGATGCATTGAATACTGAAGAAAACAATGTTATTTTCTGTCTTTTCAAAAGTATATAAAAATAGCAAACGTTTTACTCTGCGTTGACAACCTAAACCCTGTAAACAACACATGCAATTACAAATATTTCTATATAATGGCAATAATCGAATGCTCTTGTTGTATAATTACTATCATATTATGTGGCAAAAATACAATTCTATGGACTTTAATGAAAGAATACGATTATAAATCAATAGTTACCATTGGTGTGTAGTTTACATCCTTTCCATAAACTTATATATCCTGCAGATTTATGAGTATGTACAAATTATTATTATTATTAATTTTTTTATTTTCATTTTTTTTAAAATCTGTACATTTGTTAGTAATGAAAAATTGGATACAGGTACCTTATCCCCGCCTCGTTAATGTTAGCAATAGAAAAATGTAAATATATATCTGTTAGTATTTGTTAGTTTATTTTACAAAACATTATATCAGCTGTAGATACTTGATATAATACTAATTTTTAATTTGCATTTAAAAAGCAAAAAAAAAAATAACATAATAGAATATTAAAAAAAGGACCACAAATAAAAGTATGATCGAATTAGAATAATTATTTTAACAAACATACAGATATTATAAGTTTTATAGTTTTTTAAGAATGGAAAAATTGAGGAAAAATAAGTAAATTTAAAAAAAAAAAAATAAAATAAAAATAAAAACATAAAAAAGCAAAGAAAAATCAATATATTGTTCTGATGAATATTTTTTATTTTAGTTAACAAATCAATATTTCATCATGTTATTCACATATGAATTATAATAGGACTTTAATTACAATCGAACAAATGAGTAAATTGAATCCACGTTTTGTAGAAACTCTCAAGTTTATTGTTTCTTACTGCTATACACTTCTCTAGATTATAAAGATCTTTTAGTATTTTCTTCACAGCATGAATTGATAAAACTTTCTGGAAATATCTTGTATTATAAATATATTGTTTAAGACACAGAAAAATCAGGTTTGAAATTTCACCCTTGTATACATGTGAGACATCATCAAACAAAAAATTATTTTTGGTGAATGAGATACTTATACCATCAGATAAAAACCATATATCTATTTCTTCTATAAAATTCTGGACATTATCACAATTTCATAGTACATGTACTATAGTTTCTATTTCTTCCTTACAAAAATGACATAGTTGACTATTAATGACATTAACTTTACACAAAAATTTGTTTGTAGCTAATATCCTATGATTTACTCTAAACTGTAACCATTGTAGTTTTGTGTTATTAGTAACTGCAAAGGGGAGTTTGAAAATTTCTCTCCATTCTAATTCATCAAGTTCCAAAATTTCACTCTACTTTTTCTGCCCATTAGGAACCACTTTAGGTATTGACATCCAATATATATCTTTAGTTCCCTTTTTTCTTTTTAAAATGGTTTGAACAAAAGAGGGAATAAAAGGTTCTGCGAGCTTATTATCTACCCTTGAATACAGTTTCTTTGTCTGATTTAATGCTGATATGATACTATTATACATCATTATATTCTCAGAAATATCAAATTTGACTTTAATTTCCCCATAGGAGAGAACCTTTCCACAATTTTTCTAATCACATCATTTACAAAAACAGTACCTTTTTTATACCAACTTCGATAAAATACATGTTTATTATTGATATTTATAATCTTATTCATCCATAATTGACTAGCAAGAAAAAATTCCTATGTAGAATTTATATCTATATCTACAAAATATTGCCATGCTTTAAATACATCAATCCAAAATTTGTTTTTGACATTCGAAATAGTGTTTGTTGTGTAACAATTTCTCTTTATCTATATTTGTAAATAAAATATTTAACCATTTACAGTTAGAACGTAACAATTTTCGTATGTTTGTTGTGTAACTATTTCCTAGATTGAACAATATCTCTTTATCTATATTTGTAAATAAAATATTTAACCATTTACAGTTAGAACTAAGCTATTTTCTTATCCATGTACATTTTAAAGCTATCATAAATAGATTAATATTTATCATCTTTAAACCACCATTCTTATAATCCATGTGTAACACTTCTTTTTGTACTCTATGAAATATGTACAAATTATTAATCTTAAAGTTATATCTCCACAAGATTAGAATTGCAAATTAAAAAATTACACTCAGACAAGTCGGCTGTTTATTTTTTTTTTTTAGTTTATATTGTAAAAACAAATGCACTGGATAAAAATCCATTGATTCGTTTCAACAGTCTCCGTTTAGTTTAATATAAATAAGAAGATTATGTATGAGTGCCAATGAGACAACTTTCCATCCAAGTCACAATGTATAAAAAGTTAACAATTATAGGTCAAAGTACAGCCTTCTGTATGCTTAGATTATTTGTTCGTATAGAATATTTGATGCCTTTATTAATTAATGTGTATATTTGTTATTGTTTTGGATAAGACATTACTAAGTTGTAAAACTTTTGCTTGATCATTTTTTTTTTCATTTTAAACAATAAACATATGTTACACAAAAAGAAAAATGAGATTATGGATTTTGCTTTAAAGAGAATTTTCGGCATTTAGTAGTTTGACTTTTTTTTTAATTTGAGAAAAGTTTTTTAAAAAATTAGTTAATAATGTTTCTTGATTAAATTTACAGCATGTCCACGGATTACGATCATGTTTTGTAATGTTGAATGCTGATTAACATATCGACAAAGTCGCTTTGTTAAAAAGGTTTTTTTCTCGGCAACGACATAATGTCACACTGTGCAAAGTTAAATAGTGGAAAGTGGGTTTGCCTTCATACTGTCATTATGTCATTCAAATGTATCATGTTACACACTGTCAGGTAATACTGGTCGTTATTGAAGTAAAACATACTCTATTAGATGAAGTCCTAGTATGTTGGATTAAACCTTTGCTGTAAGTATATTGATTTGTATTATGATTATTTGACTTGTGAAATATAGAAATGCTTCATCTATTATTTTGAAATTTGAAGAACAGTTCTGTCATTGACAATTCATGCCAGGGATTAAATTTGATTAAAACATGAATTATATTATATTGAACGTTGTATCTCCCTTTTTGAAAGTTTTGTGATTGATGCTCCAAAATGATTTTTCATATGCTGTATTTTTCTAAATATCTAGTAACGGGCTTAATTGAATGAACATGAGGTCTGCATACTCAAATCTTAATATTTTGATTTGGACGATGATGTTCGAGGGAAAGGTTTTATTATCATCGTTTCCTCTTTGATCATTTTATTATATCGATTAACCTTGTGTATTACCTTCAACCATATTTTACAAAGATTAATAAGTGTTTTGGCGCCTAAACAGTCTGAATGGAAGACTCATTTTACATAATAATCAGTTCTTTCTACGAAAACAACCCCAAAAATACTTGAAAAAAATAGAACTCGAAGGAGCGAGAGGAAAAATGGAAAAAATATATATAATTGATTTAATACAAAAAGAGATTTTCTGGTAAGCGGGAAACACTCAAATTTGATGTAAAATTGCATATTTCATATGACAGTAAATTATGGTGAGAGTATTTTCTATGTTTTATACATATCACATTGGCTGAGAGCACTTCGGTTATGACATAGTTCAAATAATACATTTGCACTCTAGAATAAAGAAATTTATTTTTAAGCACATATATAATTTTGCTTTGTCATTTGATTATTTGTTTCATATTTCCATAATAAAATTTTTGATCCAAACTCTCCTTTATTTTTGTTTGTCGTATAAAAATGTCATTACCGTCAGCGGCATCTATTATCATCATATATGACCAATCATCATGTTTGACCAATCACCAATGTCCTTGTACTTGACAATATTCAGTGATGGTTTAAGAGTATCCAATATAATTATTGTGATAATATGACCTGTCGTGTAAATTACCAAAACAGTCATTTTTGTTGTTGTTATGTAAAACGTTTAAACACTTCGATTTTTTTTTTCAATATTAAATATGGTTAACAGCCATCTTTATCAACAATACCTTATCATGGAACTAGCGTATCTAGCAAAGCAATTGGCCTAACTCAACATTGATTAGCTATATATATTGGAATAAGATGAAAAAAAAGAGATCAGTTTTTATTTTGCTTATCTTTAATAATATAATATAATGTAATAATGTCACCTTGGTAAATAATGGCCTTTCTGTAGACAAATAAACGCTTTTGAAGTAATACAACGAATGATTTAAATGAAATTATATGTTGATAGAGATGGAAATATGTCCTCATATTCAGACAATAGAAATATCCAAGAATATTAGATAAATCCAAGTATTAAGACGCAATAGATGATAAAATAGTCTCAATTGTTGTATATATGTCGATATCTTTAATATTTTCAAATTTGTATTTCATAGTATGTCTGTGCATAATTGATAAATCAAGCATTGCGTTAGCCTAGATTAATTTATTTACCATCATCTTTGACCTATATATGGATCATTTAACTAAAAAATTCCAATTTTGAAATCGCAAAATTGAATTATACTTACAAGTTTAAACCATCATTTGTATAAGCTAACCAACAAAAAACCCAAATAAATAAAAATGAACTCTCAATTATGTCATACATTTTACAATAATATATATTTAAACTTTTGTTTATTTGTTGCAATGTTTTGACTTATCCTATTAACATTTTCAAAAACAATTTTGGATATTCGGGAACATTCTTGATAAAAATTTAAAATTGTGTCTCTATATTTATTTTTTGTAGTGTATTGTTCTTAATTCAAACAATGTTTTAATAAAATATCACAAAAAAAAAATAAATTATGCAAACACCAACTTTTCTCTATGTTTATTTAAAATTTCAAAAAGTTAGGTTTGTGTACGTTTCTTCAGCATTTGATAATTTTATATACAGGTCATTGATTTCTTGTTGGAGAAACGTGATTTTTATGCATTAAGGTTTAATGAAACTTACCTGTAATTAAAGTTACGGTGAATATTAACAGCACGATATGATAGTTAAGAAAAAAGTTAAGATAAGAAACACTAATACTTATATCATCTAATTGCAATTATATACAAACAATAACGATTGCAAAGAAACAAATTAACAGCCATATACAATGACAAATTATGTTAGCACTTAAAAGATAAGCGAAAGATACCAAAGGGATTCATAATGTCAAAAATAAACTGACAACGCCATGGCCAAAAAAAGAAAAAGACCAGAAGAAAAACAACAGTATACAAACACAACATAGAAAACTAATGGCTGAGCAACACGAACTCCACCAAAAAACGAGTTTGATCTAAGGTTCTTAATGGACAAATTCACTCTACAATATAGACATTATACACAGGTAAAATACTTAAACTTTATATTAATAAAGCTTTTGATACTGTTTGGAAACAGGCTTTACTATACCAACTTTAAAAAAAAGGTACTAAAGGAGATTGGCTGTATTGATTAAAAGTCGTCTTAAAAGATTCACTACCAAATTTTGAAAAAATAAACGCCTGTGTGCCTCAGTTTTCGGTATTCGGCCCTTTATTATGTTGAACATATATTAATGATAGAGTTGATGATTTCTCTGCAATTGGGAGGCTTTTTACAGATGATACGCCAATAGTTCATGCTGCACCTAATGGATCCATTTTAAGAAATCCAATCAAATAAAATTAAGAATGGTAATGGCAAATGTATCAAAGAGACAACAACCGGATCAAAGAGCAGAAAACAGCCGAAGGCCACCAAAAGGTCTTCAACACAGCGAAAAAAATCCCGCACCTGGAGGTGGCTTTAGCTGGCCCCTAAACAAAAATGTGTACTAGTTCAGTGAAAATGGACGCCACACTAAACTCCGAAGCATAAAAATAAACTAAAATTAAAAAAACATACAAGACTAACAAAGTCCAGAGGCTCCTATCTTGGGACAAGCGCAAAAATACGGCGGGGTCAAACATGTTTTGTGAGATTTATACTCTTCCCCTATACCTCTAGTACAATAAACAAACACATAGCAATACGCACAATAAAACTCAGTTTAAAAGAAGTCCGAGTCCGATGTCAGAATAGGTAACAGAAGAAACTAAGCATGATGACAATGATCAACATGAATTAACAAAGGACTACTAGCAGTGACTGGCATGCCAGCTGCAGACTTCAATTAAACTGATTGAAAGATTATGTTTTCATCATATAAAAAATCAAGCACAATCCCTCTCGTTAGTGGTTAAGTATCATACCATCATCCAATATATGAGAAGAACATAACCCGTATCATACCAACAACTGCTTTTAGAATAAATGTGTTTATTTCCGATGCAAAGACCTTATGAGTGAATCAATATTAATTCCAAAATATGACATCCTTAATGACCTGACAACAGTCTCGTAATTATATCCCTTCTGAATACGTCTGTTTAAAGGTTTGGTTAGCTTTTGAGGTGAATGACGACAGCAGCACATATCTTGTCATTTTAGGTAAATGGTCAAAAAGACGGCTAGTGAATTTTAATCCAAATACAACAGATATAATAATAATTATGATATTCAGTATGAAAACTATACAGAGTAATTTTTCTATTTATTTAGAGGATGTTACATAAGAAACAGTTCATACGCATAAGTATCTTGGTGTCATATTTAGTAATGGTTTTGAATGAAGTAAGCATGTTGATAAACAGATAGCTTTCACTTTCCAAATTCTGGTGTATTCATCAGAAGTTAGAGGTAACTGTGGGCAAGTAAATTTTGATCGGTTGGAAAATATCAAAATCGAGGCTGCTCGAATAGTTACAGGATGACAAAATTACGCTAGCAGGAACAGTATATCTAAAAGGACGAGATGGGAAAAATTAAGCGTAAGACGGGAGGTTAAACAACTGGCTATTTTTTAATAAGATTACATAACCAAGCGCCAGAATATTTACACGATTTGGTTCCGAATTTTGTACCAGATATTAATTATGATAATTTGCGCAACAGTCAAAATATAACAATTCCTGTAAACCATTTATCAACTTCTCCACATTCTTTTTTTTCAATCATCTATCACATTGTGAAATTTTTTTGACCGGAGTATTAGTCATATTCCTACAATATATTTGTTTCAACGAAAGTTGCATAAACTATATAATAAAAATTAAAAAATCTCCGAGAGTGTTTTCTCAGGGGATCGTTTGCGTTCTGTATTACACGCAATGATGCGTAATAGATGAGGTGCTTTGAATGCTGATTTGTTTAAAAGCAAATTTAATACAAAATACTAATTGTAAATGTTGTTTTATCAATGAAAATGTCGACCACTATTTACTATATTATATGAATTGACCAACACATAGAAATCTGATGTTAAACGAAATTAATGTTTTTAATATCGATATTACAATCGATTTATTATTATTTAGAGATGATGCATTGGATACTGAAGAAAATAATGTTATTTTTTATCTTTTCAAAAGTATATAAAAATAGCAAACGTTTTTTCTCTGTGTTGAGCACATAGACATGTAAAGAACACATGCGATTAAAAATATTTCTATATAATGGCAATAATCGAATGATCTTGATGTATAATTACTATCAAATTATGTTACAAAAAACGATTCAATTGATTTTAATGAAAGAATATGAAATATAAATCAATAGTTATCATTGTTGTGTAGTCTACATCCTTTCCATTAACGTATATATCCCATGCAGAATTATAAGTATGTACAAATTATTAATCATAAAGTAATATCTCCTCAAGATTAGAATTGCGTATTCTAAAATTACACACTGACAAGTCGGCTGTTTTTTAAATTTTATTTATATTGTAAAAACAAATGCACTCGATAAAAATTCATTGATTCGTTTCAACAGTCTTCTTTCATATAAATAAGAAGATGTGGTGTGAGTGCCATCGAGACAACTTTCCATGAAAGTCAT